ACTTCCAAATGTTGCTTTTGTGAAAGCACATAATGAGCTCCTTCCAGCAAGCTTTGAGAGCTTGTCCAGTTCCCCAGGCGCTGCGCCCAGTTACCGAATGCTCCCAACTACCTTGACCCTTCCACCACGAGCCACAAACAAGATAGCTCGTGTACCAAAGAAAAGAAGAGCGTCTCTCGTCTCCAAGTTGCTCTGCCCATAAACACCCCGTCACATGATGCTGGCCCCGTCGGTATGCTGCGTGGAAGAAAAAGATGAAAAATAAACGATCCGTCTCGGCTGCTGCCCCCGATCACTTGTGTCGCAGGAGAAAAGTTGATTGCCAGGTGTGTTTGTATCACTTCGTAACTCCGTCGCATTCTTTCTTTCGACTTGATCTTCTCTTGCGACCCAACTACAAGCCTGTTTTGCTCTCTTGATATGTTTCTTCCTCTGCCTCTCTGTTCTGCTCTCTTTCTTCCAAAAAAGCATCGTCATTACTCATTTGTAAAGGACGCCTCGGTGGTATTTTCCTCCCCAAGTCATATCATGAAAGATCGCTCAATATTGGGCCCTTTTTCTTCGTGTTCAACGTCGTCTTCATACGCAAACGCTCAAACTGCGTCCACATGCTCTCGTCATGTAGAGTAGTACTTGCGGAGTTCTGTCTGATCCTCAGGCCGCATTTGGTTCACAAAGTCGTTGAACTGAGGAATCATTTCCCGGTACATGGTAATAACCTAGGATACGTCAGTAAATATCGCTACGTGTGGGAGGGGGGTTAGAGATGCTGACCTTCTGGAAGTGCTGGTGCAGTTCGGCCTTGATTGGGTTCCTCAAAGCAATGTCCTTGTACCTTGCAATGGCAACGAAGAGCTGGGGAAGCGCCTTCTCCATGGCCTGGGGGTTCTGTCCAACAACCAGGGTAAAGCCCTTGAAGGCAGTGGCCTTCTCTTCAAGGAACTCGACGTGCTCTATAGCCGAGAGGAAGTCCTCCGCAAAAGTTGGCAGTTGAGGGGCCAAGACTTCAGAATTGTGAATGCCGAGGCGACCGAGAGCAATGGCTGCGTTCTCGCTGACGGCGTTCTGAACACCAGGGTTCGAGACGATCTCGACCAAACGCTGCAGGAGTTCGGGGACAAAAGGTGAGATTGCACTGCTATTGACCATGACGATCTCGCCAGCAGACCAGCATGCATTGTTAACAACGCTGAAGCCACTGTCAATCTCCTCGTCGAGAATGTTGTCGAGATCCAGCTGCTTCAGCAAGATGGGGAAAATTGAGTTCAGGTGCTTCTCAAGCTGGGGAAAGACGTATTTCGCGCAATCTCCCAGCAGAGCGTAAGCTGATTGCCGGACATCGTCCTGGGGATCCTCGAGACAGAAACCGAGAAGCTCGAAATATGTTCCCTCTGAGCCCCTGACTAGCTCCTGCTTCTTGTCCTCCTCTAGAGACTGGATAATAGCACTCAACAGGTCGAGACTGGTGACGAGAAAGTCCTTGTCTGGGGAGTCGAGTGTTGGGTTGTTGGTGGCCTGCAGACTTTGCTCGAGGTTCGTGTGGATAATGTTCACGCATCGTACGAAAATAGGCTGCGCGTAAGGGGTGAAGGCAGAGCCCAGCGCCATGGCAACGTAGGAGAGACACTCTAGTAGGGGGAAGAGCTCGCGCGAATCGTCGCTGACCTTTTGGTAGCGTTCAATCAAGGCCGGCATCAGTAGGCTCATAGCGTCCGGCTGAGCAATAACGGGACCAATGTTCTCCGCCAAGGTCTGAACGCAGTCGTACAGGATGTACATGTTTCTGTCCTTGTACCGGGCAAAACACTGGACGAACTGCTGCAGAATAGGGATGCAGTAGGGCTCGAGAACCTTTCCGGACTTCTCTTCAAGGTTGGCAAAAGCGGATGCCGCAGCTTCTTGGACCTTCTTGTTCTTGTCGAGCATCTTGCGGAGGATGCCTTCCATCATGGGCTCAAAGTAGGTGACCTTTTGGTTCTGGTCGAGGTTCGCGGCCCACTGTGAGTAGCGGCCAAGCGTCCAGCAGGTAATCTGCCTGACAATGGGCTCGTCGTCTCCGAGAAGTGAGAGGAGGTAGGGGACAAGCTCCGGCAGGTGGGGAGTAACGGCGTTGATGGTTCCCTCAGCGACTGCGCCAAGAGCGAGGACAGCAGCCTCTCTGTATTGCCACTCTTCGTGCTTGAGGTTGCTCGTCAGGTACGGGAGAATCGCAGTGAAGACGGGATCGGAAAAGTCACGCGCAAAGACGTCGAGAGCAGCGGCGGAGCACTTGCGGATAGTCCAGCGTTCGTCGGGGTTCTCGTCGCCATCGTCAAGGTCGTCAATCTCGCCCTCTTCCAGATCATCGTCCATGCTAGCCAGCTTCTCGTAGGCATTTCCGTTCTGGGCGGTATCGGCTGAGGCCTCGCCACCCTTACCCCTGGCCGCCGACTTCTTGGCGAATTGAGGCTTGATGTCCTCCTCACGGTCTTCTTCTTCCTCGTCGTCTGATGCACCACCGAGAAGGGCAATATCCTCCCCACTGTAGACCATGCACTCCAGCAACACGGGGATGATCTTGTCGAGGTAGGGCGTCAGGGAGCGCCACAGGTCCTCATGCTCGCCCACAGCCAGCCAGAATTCGGCGGCTTCGCACGCCAGATCTTCATCATCACTCTTCTGTTGGGTGATGATGTAGTCGACGAGGCCGGCAATGTGGGGCTGCAGCTTGTCGGGACGGGTCTCGACCAGCTGAACGAAGGCGTGGCACACCTGGCGGCGCACATCGGGGTGCTGGTCGCCAGCCAGGATGAAGAGGTGGTTGAGGAGGCTGTCGATGTTGTTGAGCATGGCCTGAGACTTGCGCGGGGTGAAGACGTTGATGGCAGTCAGGGCCTTTGCGCGGACCTTGGGCAGCTCGCTCTTAGTAGCCTCGATAAACTTGGGAAGCAAAAAGTTCAGAGGGCGTTGACCATTGTGCTCGCGCTCCAAAACCTTGACGTTGTCCTCGCAAATCTTGGCCATAGCGGACATGGCGCCCTCCTGGCCTTCGTTGGAAACCTGGCCGTTCTCGTTGGAAATGAGGCTGAGCAGCTGGGGAAGCAATTCAGGCCAGCTCAAGATACCACCTCTCCTGATGATCTCGGTCGCGATGTTGCCGGCGTAGTTGCGGACTTGGGAGTTCTTATCTTGAATACCGAGGGGAACGGCCATCTTGATGAGGGCCAAGCTGTTTTCGGGGATCTGCTTGTAACTAGTGCGCACGTTGTTCTTCAGCATGATGGCGGCGGCAGAGCGCACGAGGTGGAAGTCTTGGGCTGAGCATTGTACGCCCTGGGGAGGATCAGCGCTGGAGAAGAGGTAGGCGAGGTAGTTGTTGAAGTCGGGAGAGGCCTTGGCCTGTGTGAGCATCTGCGCATCAATGGCGGTTAGCAAGGGTCGCAATGGGCGAAGGGAACGAAGGGTGGACAACTCACGATCTCTGCTTGCTTCTGCGCATTCTTGTCGAATCCGCTGAGTGAGTCCTTGAGGCAAGCAGCCAGCTGGCTCAAGGACTCTGGGGCCGGCTGCCAGGCCATGACTGGCGCCTTTCTGGGGGTAGGTTGGAAAAAGAGATGTTAGACCAAAGCTGGCGACTTGTGAGGTAGTCGAGAATCGGGGGAGGATTCGAGCGACGGAGCGATGGTGTGAGGTCGATCGGTCGGGTGGTTGTCGAGCACGGCGGGAGGGTAGAGAGGGGCAGTCGTTGAAGTTGTTCGGCCAGGGCCACGGTCGGTAGTGAGGGCAGTGGGCGTTGACATTGGCGACTGGCAACACACTGACTGGCGAAATGGTGGGGTCGGCCTGTCAGCTTTTTTTTCGCGATAACTATGGTGCGGCGGAGTAGCGGGTAATAGGTAAGGTACCTCTGCACGAGACCGCCTCCTAACGGTACCTTGGTCATGGTATTTTGAGCGGACGGAGAAGGGCCAATGCGACTCAGGAGAAGGTACCTCGGGCAGAGGTGGGATCAGTGAAGGTCCCCAGCCCAAGAAGCACAGAGTCGCAATGCTAGTGGTCCGTCGTAGCGCATCTGGGCCCGTACCGTGGACGGTACGCCGTAATAAGGTCAGGTAGTCGTAGCGAGGGCACGCCGCACTGCAGCTTTCATCTCAGTATCATGTTACCTTTACGCAAAGACAGCTAAGGTATCTATACAGTAAGGTAGGTGCGTTGGCCCCCAAATGGCCTGCTTTCTGTGGGCGAGATGACGGGTTTGAGGCGTCTGTTTTCCGTTCGAATGACCTGAGCAGGTGAGGCAGGCAAGGAAGGTGGTCAGGAGGGCAGATGCACATGTGCGAGTGAGAAGTACAGCAAGTACTAATTTTAGCTGTGCCGTGTCGTCTTCTCTCTCTGAGGTCTGTCCATCCCAACAGTCGTGGCGATGAATATACAAAAGTTTAATGTGCTGAGCTGTCATCTGTGTATCAGTGTCGTGTAAAAGAACATGTGTGTATCGATTGCCTGCCCTCTCCTCTCTAACCACGAGCCTCTTTCCTCGTTGTCTCCAGCATTCAGGCAGACATATATATGTCACTGTATGTACGGGTACCTGTTCACCACTCGAAAATGGGAAAGCAGGCTGTGAGATTCAAGTTCACAACTTGTTCAGTGGGCATGTGAATGGGGTTGGGGTTTCGGGGCAGAAGCGATAGGGGGAGTCCGATGGGATGAATAGGTGGGAAACGTCTAAAATGGCAGGCAGTTAGAAAACCGGGAAAACGATACGGTAAGGGATGGGAACTCAAGACGGTTGCAAACGGCAAAGTAAATGTGTAAAATGGAGGGTAGTCCGTTCTGCTGGTCGGTCCTTCCGCCGATGTAGGATGTGTGTCGGTCTCATACTCCGTCCAGTCCAGGTACTTGTGGTCCTTCCACAAGCTGCACTGCTGCCCACCATGAGGAGAAAAAATCTTGAGCTCATGGAACTGTGGACGAATGGAGTTCCGTCTTCCTCTCGCAGGCTGCAGTACCTTTACTTTATGGCCCGTGCTCTTTCCTACCCCTCGTTCCTCCTGCGTCGACCAGATGGGGCAGGCTCTCCCCCACCACGCCATGTCGATAAAGTCTGTCGTTCCTGCCAGGGTTCACTTTTATCTCAGACAGCACGTGGGTCACGCTTGCTCTTGCCGTTGTGCCTCAGCGCTGGAATTCGAAAGAAAGTTTCCAACATCTTCGATTTGCCGCCTCGTAAGCACGCCAACTTCAGTCCAGCATTGGGGTCGAGTTGAAAGTCTTGAACTAGTGGATGATCTTCTCAGGATAGAATCTGGGACAACTGACTTGGAACACGCGAAAGAAGAGACCTTGACCGACCCCTGCAACTGTCAACTAACCCCTTGAGAACGAGCACTTGCTTGCATCTTTTCTCTCTTTTTGACGTTGCCAGAAATGCGGTGGAACCCCACAAACGTCGCACAGGCCTCAGAAAACATTAATTCGTGCACACCGCAAGTGACAATATCCTCCCATAGCCATTCGTATACTGTAGACACTTCCTATCCCCTCGACAACTCTAGATCTGTTGAATCCTTAGATGGGGAAAAGGAGGCGAGGATCAAACCCCGAGGGTTCAACCTGAAGTCGCAAGGGGTATTCCGCCCCCTACCCGCCCCCCTTTCTTTGGAAGGTGGACTTTACAATGACAACTCTCTCTCTCTGCGTCTGGCAGGGCGGGATTCATCAACCCAAAATTCTGAGCCGCACACGTTCCCAGACTTCTTGCCTTCGCGAGTCATCACCGTTAAGTCGCCGGCTCAGCGAAGGTGGTTGCTTTATCACTCGAGGCCCCCCAGTTCAAGGTATTACGTGCAGATCCTGTGACCCCCGTCAGAGCGCTTCCCGTACCTCAACTCTACGGGAGTGTTCTTCTGTAAGAGAAAGAGAAAGAAGGAGGGAAGAGGTTAAACAAAAAATTTCATGAGCCGAGCTTCTACCACGAAACAGGACAAAACAATCTTAAATGAGAACCATGTGGCCGAAATCAACGGACGACTACAAGCTCAGATTGCTCGGGCACGTCTTAGCCACGTTCTAGACTCGGAGAGCGACCACCTTCCAGAGATTCCAGAAGAAAGTCAAAACGTCGAACCACGAGAAGCAGCAATTGTGAGATCAGTTTTCAGAACATTCGTAGGTTCCAGAACGCCATAGTCTCCTACGTCGCATACCAAACTCCATCTAGATCACTTGCATTATTTGCACACACTGTCATAGCGACCTCGAGCGCAGCCTCGTAAAAGAACTAGAGATGGCGGTCCTTGTTGTCTATGACGTTGGGTCCATCGCTGTCGTCCCCTTAACATTCGTCGCGCCGTACAAACTTTTGACCGGTTCGTGATGATGCGCTTCTCCCTCCCTCGTCTCTCGCACAATCAGCCCGGCAACCCCGTATGCGAAGCCGAACGGCCCGAAGCCACATGTGGGACATCACCCCTCGGTCCACTGCGTCCAGACCCCGGGCCCCCCTCGTGAGCCCGGCACGCCGCATGTCCAACATCCCCAAGCCCTTGTGTGACTGTCACCCAATCCGCTTCAGGAAGTCGCAAGCAGCGAGGGCCTCGCCCCTGTTCGCTCCCGCTCCCGCTCCCTCCAGAGATCGCAAGTGGCGGCCGATGAAATACGGTCAACAAAGGGCGGGAGAATTGGAACTTTGCGACGTAAGTCTGTAGAGCAGAAGCCCCCTTACGCCATAATATCGCTACTGAGAGTTGGGTGCGTGTGTGTTCAAGCACCGTTGACCACGGGCTCTCCCTTGAGTTTTGCCGTGACGACGTCGACGATAGCCCGGAATGCTTCCATCTCCTCCTCTACCGAAAGGCTCATGGCCGCGCCGCCAAGGTTGATGGAGCAGCCTACGTAGACGGGCATGTTGGCCCTCTTGGCTAGCAGCTTGGCCATCCTCGTTGTGAACTCCAGCGTCGACTCCACAGAGTAAATGGCCGTTGAGATGGGCTGAGCCGGCTCAAGTCTCTTTGTTTGTGCGTCAGTGAAAAAAAAGCTTGTATTGGTAGATTTGCCATTTGCTTTGGTGGCATGTGGGAGGGAACATACGTTTGGTAGTGCGTATACGAACGAGCCAAGTGCCGCTGGCCCCGACTGTTCGTCTTGCGTCACTGAGGTCAGAAAGAGGGTTGCCACCTTGGCCTTGGTGCTGAGGTGAATGTGGATGCGGGTGTCGAGGGAGTGGGGCAGCGGAATCGAGAGCTGCGTGACGGTGCCCGTAGAAGCCATTTTGCAAGCTTTTAAGTGAGGTTGGATTCAGCTGGGTGAGAAATGTTGCTTAAAGTTCATCGAGTGAGGTTGGAGATGTAAACGCCATGGAGTGTGGAGTAGAGGGATTGGTGCCGAAAAGCGCATGCGCACTGTGTTTGTACTGTGATCTCCAACACCATCATGTAAAACCCTGGATATTCGGGATGTTTACTTTGCAACGCCATATTGTCTTCCTAGATGCGTTGGGAACCTCGTTTAAAATGCCTCATTATATTCGTCGTTCATGGAGGAGTAGATAAAATATGGGATCTCTAGTTATTGTGTATTGGATCAGGCCCACGATACACTGAGAGGTCGCAAGCACTCTGATCGCGATATAATCAACTTGGCATCTCCAAGCTGTCACATACGACCATACCCATTGGAAAACTCGGGATCCCGTCCGCTCTCCCATAGATAAGCCAATGAGGGCCGGATTAGTAGTTGGGTCGGTGACGACCAGCGAATACCTGGTGTTGTATGTTCTTGTTTTGTTTTGTTTTGGATGACCTTCTGCTATTGAAGACGGAGGTGAGAACCTAAGGGATCAGCTTATTTCCGCTAGACGTCCGGATCTCAGTGGGGTGGCCTCTCTTTTTCTCAGGTATACATGTTTGTTGTCCCTATGTGACTCTTCTCTATGGGGTTTATGATGGCGCCTAAACGTACACAGCTATAATACAAGTATCCTACAGGAGGAACGGGAAAAGGAGATCTGAACACCTGGGAAGCTCGCCCTCTCCCCCTCCATTGCTTCACCGTTGATGACTCTTCCCTTATGAGCTTATTGGCGTTTCCTTTTCAAGCAATACCTCAGTCTCGGGGACAGATGTAGTCTCAGAAATAGCTACACCCTCATCCACGCTCTCCTCTAGCTTGGCAGCTGTCGGAGGCAGCTTTGTAAACACCGCAACAAAGCCGCCCCCGACCACTCGCGATCCGACCTTGGGCCGACAAACGATCCCCCTCGCCGCCGCACCCGTCTCGCCCCTCTCAATCGCCTTGCGAATACTCACAACCTTGACGTCCCAGTTCCGACCGCCCGTGCCGTCCTGGAACATGTCATCGCCCGACGTCGACGTCTGCAGCTCTACGACGCAGTCCTGCACCAGCGGTTGCTCCGTGTCCTTGGCCCAGACGACAAAGTCGAGGATCTGCGTGATGGACGGGAAAAAGATGACGACCTTCCCGTCGGGCCGGAGGGCCTTGACGGCCAACTCGGCGTAGTCCTGCGAGGCCGGGAGGTCGAGGATCACGTGCGAGAGGAACGCCTCGCCTCCGTTCTGAGCGAGGCGCGAGGCGAGGTACGATCGGATCGTGCAGACGTGGAAGTCGACGTCGGAGAGGTACAGGCCCCTCTTGAAGTGCCGAACGAGGCCGTGCGCCATCCGGCTCGATGTCGGGTTGACGTCCAAGGTGTGGAGGATCGCCCTGCGACTCGACAGGTGCTCCTTGTACAGCGCCGCGAGTTCCGGGTCTTCGATATCGAGGGCGTGCGGTACCGCCTTGTGTACCTCCTTCTCCCCCTCCTCCTCCGCTACCTCATCTGACGCGACCTCCTTCCGGAGCGTGTTTCTCGCGTACGGTGCTGTACAAAGTGCGTCACGGAGGCGTGGCGGCAAGGGCGGGTTGGCACCGTGTATCGCGCGCGCGAGATGCAGCGTCAGCGCGCCCATGCCCGTGCCGGCCTCGAAGATCTCGACGGGCGGGCCGGCGTCAAAGTCCGGGTCTTCACCAGGCACGGGAAGATTCAGGTCGAGGAAGGACACAATGAGGTTGGCGTCCTGGGGGTAGATCTAACCCAAGGGTTGCCGCATGGCGCGTTTCAGTCTTTGTCGGCCAATTTGCTTGTTCCTCAATATTTCAGGTCCTGGGAAGAAGTCGTTTCATACCGGAGTCGCCACGCGAGGGGAGTTGGCGACGTATTGCCCGAGCGACGCCTCGAGGAGTCGCACATTGCGGCCGCCGCTGTCCTTGATCGAGTCGAGATAGGACTTGCCAATGATGTCGGAGGCGTTGACTTTGCTACCGTAGGAAAGCTTGATCGCCGCGTTCGTTCGGAGAGGAGGCGAGAGGTGGAATTTGGGCTCTTTGGTCCCTCGTTGGCGTAGGATTACTACATCGTGCTCTACGCAGAGGGTTAGTTGATGTACCTAGGATGGAGTGAAGATGGGCTTTGGAAGGAGGCGCACCTCTGATAGCGTGGCTGGAGCTGTAGGCGCGGCACAACGACGGTTTGGTTCGCCTGAAAAGACTCAATGGCATGCGTCTCGATAGCATGGTGATGAAGATGCTTTCCGCGATCTTCTTATTGTCGGAACGAGCTTGCAGGGGTTTGGGGAAACTCCTGTATCAAATTTGCATTGATGAATATGATTTCCTTGTCGCATAGAGTGGGGCAGATATCTATGTAGCCGTATCTTAATTCGACCTCACTCAACCTCCAGATAGCACCCAAATTATCCATCGCCTTGGTCTTACTTCACCGTGGCCACTGGTTCTGGAAATGCATGCCATTTTGAGACTCCAAATCACTGCCTTTCCCATATATAGAGAGAATAGAAGATCTAACCGTCACGACATTCACGTTCGTTATCAACGTCTGACCCAAGGTCCGGATCCCCGTGGTAGAGTTCCTTCACGTTCCATCTCAGCGTTTGCAGCGTCTTATGTCCCAATTCCTCCCTCTCCCGCTTTTTCTATCAGAATCTCGGTCTGGACGATACTAAATCTACACATTCTAGCTCTGCATCTTCACAGAAGCCGGGCAGGCGTTGACAACGGTCCAAATATCTCAGCCTCGGGAGTGCAACATCCCCTTCTTTGGCCCCACTGGCTATGTGAAGATGAGCGCTGTCATACCCAGCACAGAGAGTCAGATGTATGATATTGTCTATCGCCAGTGCTCAGAATTGAAGTTGAAGACATGAACCAAATCATGGGCCAAACACTAACATCGAGGTGTTCGCAATGCAATCGGAGATGCCAGGGACGGTAGCTCGTTCACCTTTTAGATGTACATACTCCCTTTTCTCATGTGACAATTCGACCCCTTCGGCCAGATCCAAGATGCCTGATGGAGATAAAGTCCTCCTATCTTTTATATAGTCAGGTTTTCTCCCTGTAGCACTCCGATTCTCTTACTTCTCATCTAACCCCTTTTTTCATCTTCACTCAATCATTCCATTCTCTTCTCGTGTCTCAACTAGTCAATAGATCTACGACGCCATCTACCACTCTAATCCATTACAATGGCCACACAACACAACGCCTGCGTCGACTTCAGAATGAGCAGCCTCCAAAATGCCCTGGCATACACCCCGCAGCCGTCGGGAGACTTTCCGTCTCCCAGGGCTGCGGAAGCGACAGACTGGCTGGCCCACATTCTCTCAGAGAACGAGTCGGGACAGTTCATGAGCCCGGCAACGCGAACCCGCGCTGAGAGGCTTCATCACCTCTGTGCCGAGTCCGTCTACTGGCCTCTTTCAGATCTGATGAACCCTGCCCTGGACGCAGTCAAATACGGCCGCCATGAGATTGAGTCCCTCATCCGCATTGACGGACGCCATAAAGCAGCGGGTCTGAAGTGGAAATGCATGGCCAAGGACTACATCGTCACGCGTTACGCCCCGTACTCGAAGGATATCGAGAACAAGCGCCGGATGATGGAGAGCCAGACATGGAGACAACTCTTCAACGGCCGCAAATCAGTCGGTCCCATCATCAAGTGTCCCTACGAGACCTCGGCCGTCTTCGCCGTCATGGACTGGGTCGACATTGACCGTATTCTCGACTTTGAGACGCGCCAGAACTCACGATGGACCGAGTATCCGGGCATCTCAGCTTTCGTCGACTTCTCGACGAAGATAGCGGGTAGACAGCCCCCATCGAAGTTGACCAGCTACGTGGAAAACGTAGCCAAGGCGCACGGCGACTTGAATTGGAGAAAGGTGCGGAAGTTCATTAAGATGTACATCGCGGAGCAATACCCGGCGTCTCCCAACTTGTACACGGAGATCGATTGGTTCGAAAACAGGTTGCCGTTTTTCGATGTTCCCGACACGCGATACGGGATCCAGAAGAAGGCTTCGAGTTCATCGAGCGGCATGTTCGAGACCTCGGAAGAGGTTCAATGGCAGAGACGCTTCGACGAGGACTCCCGAGCTCTGTCGGAATGGACTCCGAAGTGCTGCTCTGACTATAAGGTTCTGGCGATTCGGGCGATGGCTGCCTTTGAGGCTTGAGTCAATTGGCTATAGACGTCGACTTTAGGTCCGGTCTCCGTTCTGTGGTTCGTTCGGTGTCAAACTTGGAAGACGATTGCAGACTACGAGTTGTGTTTGTGTTGTTCGGGTCATCTTCAAAGTTTACACTTGGACAATCTGTCACTAAGAGGGCTTAGAGTTATCTAGTTTTCCCTTGTCGTTACTGTTGATAGAATTACTTTCGTGAACACTGATCGTACTCCCGACCGCCATTTTCGAAGTTCAACGAGCAGTCAGCCTTACTTTCGACGTGTTGTGCTAACAAGTCGCAACCACATATCCGATCTCCGATTTGACGGCCTGGTAGCTTGTCGTCAGCCTTCCCTTACACATTGATGTTTTCAGCAAGATGAGAAAAGCCTTGGAATGGAAGTTTGCGAAGCGGAGTGTAATGATTTCACCCCTTTTGTAGAAAACAAATGTGCGACGTGCGTCAACATCCTATACCCCTGCGATCCAATTACACATGTGTGGAAGTGGCCAGTCTTCGATCGAATTCACTTGGTCCATGATAATTTCTGGTGATTGGTGGTGTGATATGAAGAAGGACGTGACCGCGGAGACTAGTTATCTGGACGATGACGAGGACCTTTCGTCTGGTGTCTTACACTTGAGATGATTCGAGATCGTACGAAGGCCGGCTATTGATAGCAATGCCATCATTGCACAGTCTCCTCCACCAAAACATAGATGAATAATGGTGCGATGATGGAAATACTTATGATGGAAGCACTCACGATGGGAAGACTTACAATGAAATCACTCACGGGGGCGTAAATCATATCAAGTAGCAAGGAGCTGGGGGCCAGGGGCAGTGGAAGGCAGGCACCGCCCACAATCTCCCCTATAGTGGTAGACGCACATGATCAAGTTTGCACAGTTTCAGCTGCGATTCATGGGGATATTCTCATTCGGTTACCACCCTTAGACAAGATACCACTGCGTTCATCCACCATGGCCGCGACCAGATTATGAACAAAGTCGATCCTTCCATCCTCCTTCCTTCTGCGTGCCATCAGTCATACCCATCCATTTCAACGTAGAATCCAGAGCAAACCAAAACCACCACATCAATCCCATCCAGTGTTGATTGCTAGCCTGCTCTCTTTCTCCAACATCGTGATCGACTTAGTAGTAGCCCATGCCAGGTCCCGGCTGCGCTCCATGATGATGGTGATGGTGCTGAGGCGCAGGGTAGAAGGTGCCCGCGGTACCTCCATGGACGACCGCCTGGCCCATTCCTCCTCCTCCCATCATACAGGCTCCCTGCGAAGCCATCGGGACGAAGGTTCCAGGACCGTGGTTGCCAGTACAGCAACCACCGCCACCCTGGCCAGCGGGAGTAGGACCTCCAGGCGCCGCCATGCAGGCGGTCGGCATGTGCGCCTGCTCTCGGATAAGGTAGGTACCAGCGGCGGCAGGAGGAACCGACATCGGGCGGGCAGCGATCGGGGTGGCGGCAGCGGCGGCAGCCGTAGCGATGGCAGGCGGAGCGACGTCCTGGGCGCGGGCGCGCTCGTGCTCGTCCTTCTTGAAGTAGAAGGCGTACTGCTTATCCATCAAACCGCGGTCGAAGAAGCGGATCTGGCCGTACGTGTAGTCAAAAGGGTACTTGCGCTCCTCGTGACTGTGAGCCTTGTCTGCGAAGAGGTTTGAATGTCAACAACGGTTTTCCCTCCCTACTTCAACGACTACTCCTCTCTTCCAAAAACAACGATAGGTAGACCTACCCATAAGCTTCCACAAGCCCTCAAGCTTGAGCCAGTCGCTCGCCTCGAGACTGATGCGGACTTTGCCCTGGCCCGCAAAGTGGCGGTAGACGTGCTCCTTGGCCTCCTGCGCCTTGTCGTAGAGCAGGGCGACAGTCGCGTCGGGCCACTTGGTCACAATGTCAGCGAGGACGCGGTCCTCGAGAATATCGTACTCGCCGGGTCCCAGGCCCCATCTGGACAGCACCTCGTCCCGCTGTCCCTCTCTCATCCACTTCTGGAGGTTTCTGTCGAGGTCTCCGACAGAGACCCAAGGCTCGGGGGCGGGGACGGGGGAGCGGAGACGTCCCATGGCGAAATCATCGCGAGCGGACCACGGGGCGGGAATGCGATGCATTCGATCCTGCTGGAAACGTCCATGTCCACGGCCACCGCGATCGCGCTGGTCTCGGCCGTTGGCTTGAGCCTTTTTGCCGGGGGGCTGCTCTGATTTGACTCTACCCATCGTTGCAGAGTGTAGATGGGCAGGTAAGTATGGCGGTGTTGAGTGGTGGAAGTGAAAGGTGAGTTGACCTGGAAAGAGTTAGATCAAATAGCCCATCTGGTGGTGAAAGAGGGCTGAATATGTGTTCCATTACGGGGAAGTAAGGTGAAAACAATAGGGTTGTCGAGCCGACCCTGGATGAACGGTGAAAATAGCAGCTCTCGCTTTCCGGGTCGCTCACCAATGTCGAGGCTAAAAGGACTCGGATAGACGATAGATCGACAGCCTGTCTATGGTCAACAAGGCTGCGATAGTGACTTGCTATGTAGCACTAGATTGGGCCGGGGAACAGGCGTGGGCGCGGAGGGTGGCAGACAGAGCCTCAACCAACCTCGAGAGGATGATACTGATCCGGGGCGAATTGAACATTTGTTAACAAAGGCGACGGTGCCCACCAAATGTCTGCCGTCAATCAGCTTTATCAGTACAAACTTATTTTCGCGGAATAATCTGGGGATGGGACACAAAGCAAAGCAAACCAAACGAACCGAACCAAAGAAATGGTCAAGTCGGCTTCCAGGCCAGGCTCAAGTTGTGTTCGATGGCTTCATTTCCTATCACGGTCCATAGGTATCTTTCCGAAATGAACCCAAACGTAATCCCGCTTCTATTCATGGTATCATTGACACGTTTAACCGATCATCTCTTCGTCATCGTCACCGCCGCCACCCATCTTCCGCCTCAATCTCACGGCATCCTCATCTCTCTTCCTCCGCTCGAGGCCCTCCTTGATCCAGGCATCGTATGCCGCATCGCCGCCCTCAACCTTCTGCGCGACAACACCTTTCAGGACCTCGCCAGCGAAGCCAACAAAGTTGTGTCGACGCAGAGCGTTCTCGAATCTCCAGTTGCGGCGCTTCTCGTTTTCTCGCTCCAAGGTCTCGGAATCACCAATCTCCTTGGCGGCAATCCTCGGGTCGCGTACCATGGCCAGCACGTTGAACCGAATCTCGGAGCTGGCGTACGTCAGCATGCGGTCCTGGAGGACCTGCGTCACCTTGGTTGGAAACTCTTCGGTCGTGCAGGCGCCGTGAGAGATAGGCGCAGGCTGCAGTCCATCCAGTTCGTACAGCTTGCCATTGATGGGCGTGTAGGCGATAAAGTGGAAGGCATCCTCGGCCTCGCCCGTCTTTTGCGTCTCGTCAACGAAGGGACTGCTCTTGGCGAAGCTGTTGTGTACATCGCGGATCAGCTCAGAGTTGCTGAGTGCCTCCCCGCGGAACTCGGGAGGCAGAACCATGGTGAATTCACGGAATTCGCCAAGCTTCTCGCCAATCTCCACCTCGTTGGTCTTGTTAAGAACGACGCTCAGCAGCGCTTGCGTGCCACAGGCATTCTGGATCGTCTGCTGGGCGAAGAAGAGGCTCTCGGCGGCATCGCGGTCGTAGGAGTCTGCTGGCCGCGCGGGCAGGCCTTCGGAAGGGTAGCGGAAGAGGAAGATAATGCCGTAGATTGGCTGCAGCGGCGCTAGCTCATCAGGAGAGAGCGTGAGCAGCTCTTCAAACTGAACGCCCTTGACACCGAGGTTCTCGAGCAGGTAGGTGAAAACGCCCTGGACGGTTAGTCTGGTGCTATTTCAATTCGTTAAAGTGACGTACTGCATCGGACTCGACTGCAACGGTTAGCAAGCACAATAGGCTGGAGCTTCTTTCGGGAGCCGCATACTGGTATTCCATCCACCACTCATCTTGGAGGCGGAGGAGGGGTAATTGCTGGTGGACGTGGTGGAGGTTGGTCGCTGAGCTTTTTGAGTGTTCTGCAAGACGTCGTAATTGCTGAGTGGTTCGCGTCGCAGTCAAATCGGATTTCGCAACCGGACTGGAATTGGTAAGCTGGAGATTGAAGCTTTCATGTTTGCGGACGGAGCGCTGACCGTTGACGCAAAGTCGGAGCTGTGGTGGGGCGCGGTGGAACGGGACCAGGGTCAAAGATTCGCCGGGGCACCCAACTCTCCAAGCTCAATGCCCCTCAAGGCTTACTCGCAGACCACCAATGTCACCATTACGGCAGAGGAATTAATTCAAAGCTGGTGTCTCATTGTTGCTATCTACAATCATTGACAGCTGATTCAAGTGATATAGCCAGTAGACCTGGCACAATATTCTCGCAAGAAAATCGCCTCCCCGGTAACAAAAAATGAAGAATCTAACCCTAGACCAAGTACTTTTCTTTAGTGCACGGAACGCGGCGTGACTGCCCGCTGTGGGATCGTCACCATGTGAACACCGTCCTCCTTTTGGTCCGATGAACCCATGCGCGAACCCGGAGCGTAGGAGCTATCGTGGTCGTCCTGCATGTTAAACTGGCGCTTGCTGTCGTTGTCGCCGTTGCTGAAGCAGCTGTTGCGGACAGCACGCACAAACCAAGGCTTTTTGCCAGAACCTCTCCAGGACCAGTATTCTTTCGCATCGTACTCGCGGGGCTCGATTCTACCCCCAGACAGCCAGACAGTCAAGGCGATCAGGCCGTTAAGAACAGTGTACACGAAAACGCCCCTAGGATGGTCAGCCATGGTTAGAGAGATGTCATGAGAACAACTTACGCGATAAGGCCGTAAGCGACGCTGTACGAGAAGGGAATGAAAGTCATTACGACAAAGGATGGAAGAACATCGCCAATATAGCGCCAGTTGATCTGGGTAATTTGACGAATCATCATGCAGCCGACCTGCGACAGTTAGACCGGAACACCTCTCGAGACCTTTGGGGCCTTTTGGAACTTACCAGAACGAGCGTGCAACCGGTTGCCCAAGGCGGGATAGACGCAAAGATGGGAGCAAAGAAGATGGAGACGAGGAAGCAAAGGCCGGTGGTCATGGATGTCAGTCCGGTGCGGCCACCTTCTGCAATGCCCGCACCGCTCTCGATGAAGGCCGTGACTGGAGAACAACCGAACAGTGAGCCGATGGAGATGCATGCCGCGTCGCAGCAATAGGCAATGGTAGAACGAGGGAAATCGCCGTCCTTGGGGTCGACAACGCCACAGAAACGGACCATGGAGTACAGCGTGGCTGTGGCGTCAATGATGTCGACGTAGAGGAAGGTGAAGAGAGCCAGGGCGAATTGCGATCCATTCTTTGTGACATCCCAGTCCAGGGCGTTGAGGGTGTGCTGGATTGGATGGAACGTGACGACGTTTTTGAAGAAGTTGAAGCGATTTTCGCCTTCCTCGTTGTAAGGGAAGTAGGTGATGGATGTGTTGCGTCTGAAATAGTCAGCAATATTCGCGTCATGGAGTGCGGATGACTTACGGCCAGGATAAGATGGACACCAGGGCAATACCCATGATGAGAGCATACTTGACCCGGAATGACATCAGATAGGCCGTGACAAGGCCGCCAGCGAAGATTGCCGTCCACATCTTGGGGCTCGACATGATACCTCCAGCACACATCTGGGTGTCCGGGTCGATCATCTCAACAGGGCATCCGGCGATGGCGAGCGGGGTAGACTTCCAGCCTCCAGTAATTGCACCGATTCCGGCCGAATAAGAAAGTCCAATCTCCGTCAAGAAAAAGCCGATACCGACGCCGGTTGCCGTCTTGATAGTGGCGGGGATGAGCTTAACAAGCCACTGGCGCATTCCGGTAAGAGCAAGGACGATGAAGATGAGCCCCTCCACGAAGACTGCTGTCAAGGCGACACGGTAGGGAATGTTGCCTGAGCCGTTGGGGCCGACGACCTGGAAAGCGAAGTATGCGTTGAGGCCCATGCCTGGACTGTTCTTTCTGTCAGTGAATGCCAGATTTGGATACGAGACAAACACTTACGCAAGGGCCACTGGCAGATTGGTGAAGAAACCAAAGGTGAAGCTAGCGAGGCCGGCGATGGCAGCAGTCGCAGTGATCAGGTCAAGACGAACATCTAGCAAGGTTAGCCGGGCTCATTGCGTGATCTCGGCCGACTTACTCTCTTTGCAAGCCTTGTAGCTGTCGATGTTGTCGCAGTCGGCTCTGTTTACCAAGTCGCACTCACAAGTTCCGCCTGTCTGCGAGAGAATGATTGCCTAGGCCGATCAGCACATAACCCTCACAGTCAGTCAAGGATATACACTCACATTGACAGCGATGATGTACGCCATGGTCGCAAAGGTGGTCACTCCCGCGCGAATCTCCCTAAAGAATGATGTATCGGGTATCTCCTTAGGCTGTCCGGGGTTAGAGAATTTGGCAACAGAGGCAGGGGGAGAAAACATACATGGCCGCTTCCCTCGAGTCTGAAGATTCGTCCAAAGGTGGACGTGGAGATTCGTTTGTCGCAGCGATCGACAGCTTTCCACATAGCATGGAATCTGCGGCCGATGGCGGATCGACGAACGGGCGACTCGATGGGCTCCAAACGCTCCATGTTGGAGTGAGTCGACATGTTGCTCATAGCGAGCGATGGAGGAAGGAGAGTCGGTGGACGAGCGTCCAGGCGACTCGGAGAGGTAGGTGGTAGTGAGTGGTAGGGAGGCCCGAGTGGTGAGGAGGTTGTGGTACAGGACTCAGTACAAAGGAAGAAGGTTGAGATGTCTCAGAGTCCTGTACGAGGCGAGGCGGGAGGTGGTTGGCACACAATCGGCGAGGAGGCAGGAGGAAAAAGAAGGAGGAAAGTCGCAGGAGAACCTGAAAGTGAGGTCCGGCGGGTGTTGGAACCGAGATGGGAAGGATTGAGTGGAAGAAAGGAATGTAAAGTGAGGTGACGAGAACCTGAGGCAAGTTCAATATTCGGAGCTTGGAAGAGGTGGTACCCAGGACGGCCTGGCAACGAGACCGAATCCTACGGGAAGGATCGATAAAAGAGCTGTCTTGGAAAAGGAGAAGAAAGGGAAGGCAGATGCGCCGTTGGAGAAGGAAGTGAAGGTGCGTTAATGGTCAATGGAATGCCTAGAGAAGGGAAGAACCTGGAAGTGGAAGGGGCGAAAGTGGCAGGATGAATTATATCCTTGCTCGCTCCTGCCCATGTCCACTGCACACCTGCACACCTGCAAACGACCCCATCGTAGGTACTTACATACCGATACCTTACCAGACTTGCCTACCTACCTCAAGCTTGCTCAAGCCTCGAGGTACATGCATCTCCTGCATCTCCTGGGCGACATCCAATGTCTCTTCTTCCCCCCTCTTCCGAGAAGGATACCTTTCCTCACCGAGTTGACCCTGCTTTAGTCTGCCACTTTCTGAGGTACGCCAGTGAAAGAGGGTGTACCAGTCTTTCTTTTCCTCAGCAAAACCTATACTGCGCCAATGCCGCGTGGAGGTGGGTAACGTCTTGCGGGAAGTCCACATCGCGGGTTTAGCCTCCAGGCCTGAGGAGGAGAGAAGTTCCAGGCCGCCACTATCAGCCGCAGCTCGTCTCTTCCCACGTTGACGCGAGGCGCTAGCCTCATGGGAGATCTACACTCGCCAACCGGGACGTGGAGGTGCTCGTGCTAATCTGCCATCAAAGGACATTGCGAGAGAGCTCCTCCTAAACCGGCCATTTCTCGACGCCACGAATGTTCAAAAAGCTTGAGCCCCCAAAGCTGGACAACGACGCTTTTTTTTCTTCCAACGATAAACGCCATGTCCATTGGTTCACCACAAGGCCTCGCCGAAGGGCTTCGAGCCGGCTCTCATCATCAATGCCTACGCACCAGACTTTCAAGCCACGACTGATATCGAGTCCACGCTCTCGTACGAGTTGATAGGCTTTCGGGAGAGCAACGATACCATCCATCACGTTAGCTCGAATATCCCAAGAAACGAATTCCATCTGTGCGCAACGCCTCACGAACCTACGACCCAGCTGTCAGGTTAGGCGCGTCTTAGTCTTGCTCTTCAACCGCTCGGACTGCCGAAGAACTACGCCATTGTCCGAACGAGGCATTGGAATCGCCTGCTTCCTGGCCTTATCGTCGATGTCGGACCTCGTCGCGATAGCTTCAACATCGGAGACCGCCCAATCGGCCTTGAAATCAAGCCCTCCATCGCCCAGGCCTATCCAAAAACGTTCGCCATCGTGACTCTGTCCCCTATAATCGATCAAGCCGCAGCCAATGGCCTCCTTGACTATCCCTTTCTTCATCTGGCCGCTCAGCTTTGCCGTCTTTCCAGATGATAAACCAATTACGACGGGAAATCCAGCCATGAGGCAATTTCTTGCCTGCAGGCGGCCGCTGCAGTGTATACCTTGGTAAGCGAGACATGTCTCGAAGCTCCTTGATAGGACCACCAAGGTCGGTGACCGGTGCTTTGCATCATATGCGGGAAATTCGTCCTTGTACCGAGATTGAGCTTGTGACAATGTTCTGCTCTCGCATCAGCCCCTGCTGACCATTGCCTAGCTATCACCTGTTTGCTCTTTTGCGGCTGACCTTGCGTGTGCTACAGCCGTCATCAGTCTGACTTGAAGCCCTCCTCACTGGCCAGTTCTCCGGAAGACTCAGACATACGCACGTCGTACCTTGCCTACGCATCATGCACTGCTACAAAAGGCCGCTATTTTCCTCGCTCGCTCGCTTCTTTATCGTCCAGCACTACGGAGAGTTTAACGTCGGTCCTAGACCACGCCCGATGCGTCGTGGCCAAAATGTCAAATCATGTGGGAGAGGTGCTCCGTGCTTGTTGGGATGGAGCTATCGTGATCCGATCTTCCTTCGGTATTCAGTGGTAGGCCGTTAGGAGATGTTGGAACATGTTTGTGGCCAGGCCCGTTGGTAATTTCGAGTTGGTCGCAGGTGATGGTTGGCAAACTGGGCCCTTTGGGGTAAGGTATGCCGCATCTAGAAAGGGCTCAAGAGTCAAGACACTCTTCTGGATGGCACAAACGGGAAGTGGAAAGACCACAAAGGCCCTCTGACTCTGGCTGGAATTGAGCTGGGACCTGCTTGAGACCTCGTTGGATTGGGTCTTTGTTGGAATAAGCAAAGGGAAAGAATGTTTGCTCTCCATTGTCGTTGGTTGGCAAACTCGCTTAAAGTGGCCAAGTGAGCCGCCAAAAGGATAGTGGAGGGTGGCATGGATCGCTCCGCGGCGCACCTGGGCGTATTGGGCTTGGCCGGACGATGCCATCGCTGAGTCGTGAGTGGTCCCTGGGCTACTAAGGTGCCTTAGAGTAGGCTTGCCAGCAGTTACGGCCGCCAGGACGTGCCCCGCAGACTGCAAAGTCCCCTGACACGGGCCCCCTAGCGGCGCCGCTGCAGTGGGAAGCTGGAACCTGACCACTCACGAACCACCTTGTCCCCCAAGACGGTTTAGGTCTGGCAGACCTCAGGGGTGGCCCTGCCCCGGATTGCCGTCTCCCTGCAGATCCACCCGCGCCCTGAATCCAATCTGTGATCCCGACTCTTCCACCTTGCAGACGACATCCCAGTGGCCCTCGTTCCCTGCCTTGCACTCCATCTCACTCTTACCTTAGCCTTTGGGTTGAGTCTTGCGAGTCTTCCAACGCCAACACCAAACATCGGACTACGATGCCACCGCCGTGGCTTCGCAGCTAGCCACTTATCAGCCCCTGCTCAAGTGTTGACGTTTGCCCAGACCAGTGGCCCCCTGGACCCCTTCACAAACACATCCACGACGTCTCATCGTCTGCTCTCTGCTCCCAACAAGCGGTCTGCCGGTCCGAGTCTCTGGAATCCGCTTCGAGCGGGTACTGTGTAGGCTGCAATGCCACCATATCGCCCGGATCGTCACTTTCTCGCCGGGGTCATGGACATCCCCGGACGACTTGACCGGATGCCTTCCGCAAGACGGTCTGCCGGGACCTACAGAGCCACCAGACTGCAGAGTTGACAGCTGAAGACGACACGACCGCGTCTGTCATGGACTCATGGAGAGATTCTGTACGACGGCTTCCCCGCCGGTCTTGCCGCTTCGCTGCGGATCGAGAGGAGCACCGCCTTGAGTCGAGAAGGCAGCTTGCAGCTGTCTTCAATGGTGCGAGGGCACTTTGCAAAAACGGAAGCAAACACGGCCCCGATGCTTCCCCATCGCATGTCTAGCTCACTTTCGTCCAGCACGAATGGTGTGCACCAGGCAATTTGGATTCCAAAGATGCGCTAGTTTCCACAAAGACGCAGCTCGACGCGCGAACTTGTCGATAGTCCACAGCCCCCAAAGATAGCAATGGGTTTTGCCATGTGGTCGGCAACGTAAGCTTCGCACCGTCCCTTTCGCTGAAAGCTTCCTTGGGCGCCGTCTTGGAGTGTTCGAGGCAGGGGCAGTAAGGCAGGACACAATGAGCATGTCCTGGTCTGCCTGCCCTTTTGCGTTCCATTCTGGCCAAGAACGAGGGTCGCAACGTGCCTGGAGTCAAGGGAGGCCGGGCAATGGAATTCTGCTGTTTGACAATGCGAAACCCGTTGACGGTTCGGAACGGTTCGTGAAGAAGAGCATTCATCTCAATATTTCCTCCACCAATGTGGCACGGCGCGTTGCGTCCCGTTGACGTTGGCTGCCACAAGTCGCCGCTGTTGTGCCTGGTGCAACTGGCAGTTCGGGCGTACAGTCACTTCTTGTCTGTGAGCGAGGGCAAAGTTGACGATGCCGGCTGGGACGCCCTTGTCTGGTGGTGGTGAAATAAGCAACGCGGGAGGAGGACGGATTGAGACAATGAAAAACACTTGCCGATCAATGTCCAATGATTCTAAACCAGCACGACCAGATGGATGGGGGGCCCAAGGGCCATGACCGGCAGGACGCCACAAAATCTCAGATGACTGCATGGGCTATCGGCGAGATTGAGAGGGGAGCCAAGACCAAGGGGGTTCAAGGAAAGCCGGTTGTGTTAGTCCCAATTCGATATATGGACAAGCCGGGGAGCACAAATTCATACTGGAGCTTGATCGACCGCCGACTCGGCTTGCGAACCAACCTGCTTGCCCAACAGTATCAACTGGTGTCCTGGTCCTATCCATAGCACGGTACATAATCAGACGGACACGTACGATCACACACTGTCGAACCTGGTTCCTGTTGGAAGAGAGAAAGTAATTACCTACTTGTACAAATACAAATCTCTCGGAACGGGCCACTCGCTCTCTTCTGACGCACTCTTCCCGCTCTTGTGTCATTTGTTTCTATTCTTCATCAAGTACCGAGAGGCTGGCCCGTTTGTAGGTTGCGCACTTCATACTCCCAAATCCATAGGTTGTTGTCGTCGGCCGCACCGGATCTCGACCTGGAGTTATCATCCCTCACGTTGCATTTCGCATCTGCGGCGCGTGTCGAATCTCCTGCAGCTGCCGCACAAGCACGACGACAACCGGAAGCGACGCTCGTGCACGTCAACTGTCAACTGCCATCTATCTGCAGTTTCGCATACCGCATTGCATCCGCGTCCGCGTCCGCGTCCTCGCCCTCATCCTCGTCTTCCCTCGGTCCTTCCTTCCCCCGGCTTCTATTCTATACCTGACGTCTCCTGCCTTCCCGATTGATACAGGTTTCGCGTGGTCCTCCTGATACACTAGCGCCCTTCTCAATCAGAACTGCACCTGCCTCTGCCACATCGTGACTGCCCTTTCTTCTCCTGCCATCTTTTCTCGGAATTGGCCAACCAACACATTCAACTTCCTCCGTACACCACCTGCCGACGTCGGCTTCCCATTTTCGCTTTGTCGAATCTTCCCTCCCTTCGATACGGCACTCTCGTCAATCCGATTTCTTGCATCTCCCCCCTATTCAACCTTCGCCGGCTCTCCTCCATGGTCCAGGCTGTCGGTCATCGCAGCTTTTCAACCTTTCACCCTTGCGACTTCCTACTGCCGACCGCAAGTGTATCTTAACTTCATCCTCACTCACTTCTACGACGCGAATCATCGGACGGATTACGTCCTCAGCCTCCACAGGACCCAAACGTTCAGCAACACGTCGTTTTCCGAACTTCGGGCATGCGATTGATCGGCCGGTTCAAGCTCACAATTTTGCGTCTCAATCAGCATCAAAGCCGGCTGGCCGTGTATTCACAGCATCCCTAACATCTCACCTGGCCACTCGGATCGTTATTGCAACACACGTCTCTCGTTTGGACCGACGAGAAACGACTCGCAATGTGGGAAGTCGTGTGGACGGACCCCGACAGGGAGTCTAGGAAGGAGCACCGCGAGAGGAAAGCAGTTGAGCGGGAGCACAAGGATAAGACCAGAGCGTCTAGGAGTTCCATGTCCACTCGCAGCTCTTCATCGTCCGACAACAAACCGTTCAGCTTCTTCGGATCTAGGAGTCTTAAGAGGACACTGACACCATCGAGCACCAAAACATCCACCACACACGCTCTCAAAGCCCCGAGCATCGATAGCACATTCAGAGGCTCGCTATTGTCAGCTGTCTCGGAGCCACCGCCACTACCCACGGAGCTCCCATGTAGCCCCGTCACCACGGTCGACCGCACTTACATGCCGCAAGAGCAGCATTCTGTCGAGTCACAACAGAGCTCACCAATCTCATCCAACAGAGGTAGACAAGCCCAATTCCACAAGCTTGCCACAGCTCACTGATATTCAGGATTCCTAGATTCTGTTTTCTCCAAGTGGACAGACACCTCTATGGGTGGTCCGACATCCCCATGCAATACATCGGTCGCCGAGTCGACGTCGGCAAAGAGGGAGCATTACGTCCAGACCCTCGGCCCAACCTCATTTATCACCAAAAGCACAGAGGTCACCATCCTGCCTCGTACGATAGAAAACGATATCTCAGGCATGATCTCTCATATAACCATCACAGCTGAGCCAGTCAAGGAGGAGCCCCCAACACCTCCACGTTCTCCAGCGGCGCAGTAAGTACCTCGCAATCCCCTTACAGCATCGTCACTGACAAGATATAGGCCGGCGGTAACAGCCACGATATCACCAGCCATGCTCGACTCGCCTGTCAACCTTTTTCCTGGCCATCCTAGTCCGCAGCGTTCATTACGGCGAGTTCCTTCATGGTCCATGGCCTTCAAGCCCAACAACCCAGACTCCTGGAGACCACCAGATGCCTGGGACTGTGGTCCACCTCCGGAAGTGCGAACGCCAATGATTGAGGCGGTCATTGAAGAGACACCAGAGCTCGATGCCGCATGTGCCATGTCCATGGATCTTAATGGGATGCAGCGTGAGATCAGGCGAATGGCCGCTGCAAGCCATAGCATTCGCCTCCTGCGGTTGAAAGAGGTTTGGGGCGAGACCACCGATGCTAGCCTCTACAAGGAGCTTGAGATGGAAAAGAAGAGATGGATGCTTTCTTCTTTGCACAACATGGACAAGCCAGTGGAGGTGGACCAAGCGAAGGCTCATCCCAACAAAATTACTCCTGCCAAGGCGAAGAAGGTCCTCGCGCTTTACGAGACTCAGGGTAAGTGGAGGCAAAACTCAACTTTTCGTCACTCCGACTAACTTGCACAGCAACAACCTCATACCTGGCCGCCATCCACTTCAATAAGCAAGTGTATCATCTGGCTTCATCGCCACTGTCTCACACACTCTTTCCAAATATCCACCCGGTTAATGTACCTGCCATTTCGCCATCCGCCTTCCCAGTGGCCCCGTCTCTGTTCGGTGTAGTCTACTCGTTGGCACTACCGGCGCTTCTGCCATCGCCGGAAGTTCCCAGTCTTCTCAAAAATGTTCACCGGTGCCTCGCTGCCGGTGGTGCCTTTCACCTTACATTGATCGACCCCCTTCCCGTCACGAGTACGTTGGGTCCTCTGATGCGTTCGTGGATTGAGGAAAACCTCATATTCAACCTCGAGAAGAACTTCCGCTGCATGAATCCAAGCAAACTCTTTCCTCTGTGGTTAGCAGATGCTTCCCTCCGTGCTGAAGGCAGTACCATCACCACTGTGAGGTTTTCCGCCATACCACCAACAGACAGACCAGACACGGCCACGACCGATGCCGAGGTGCTTGCAGATAAGGCTGTCAAGCAGGAGCTCCGCAGTATCGTCGGCCGCATGCTCTGGAGGGAAGTATGGGGACAGTACATTACTGCAGATCAGTGGTGGTGGGAGAACCCCAGAATTGTGGAAGAGTGTGAGCAGCTCAAAACAGCGTGGGAGTACAGCATCATCGAGGCGGTCAAAGAAGCGTGATGATAGTCGCTCTGTCTCAAACTGGTTGGTTCTCTCGCGAACCAAAAACGAACGGATGGAATCTTTTTGTCACTTTGAGGGAGCAGAGGTGTTTCCCTCGGTACGGCGTTGGAGGCCAGATTTCTTTCACAATACCCCCCCTGGATGGCCGACAGAGCCACTTGCTTTACATATCGGCTTGGGAAACGTATCCAACGGGACACGGTGTGGTTTTCTATGTATGCCGCTGTGCTCTCATTTATCAGGCTTCTTGGGGACTTCTGAGAGGCCGGGTGGGCCCGCAGCATTACGGAAGAAGGCGCTTCCACTCTACGTTGGAATCAGCTGTATTTATTACTTTGCAAGAGTACCCAATGTCGGCAGCAGAATTATACAGACCGGAATCACGTATCGTTGCGGTGAAGTCTATGTCAGTCGGTGGATGTCGCTCGTGGAACAGACTTGCCAACCTTTGAGTGTGAAACGTATCCGGCGAGGTTCCCGAAGCTTGTGCTTTACATTTGACCGTATGGCTCGAATATTTAATGATGTGTCTGAATTTGATAGGTCGAAAGAGAAGGGCAGCAGGCAGATTTGTTTGGTTTTCATTTCGGCTATGAAGGCAACCCCAGATGAGTTCGGATTTACCGGGCAGAGAGTTTCCCAGCATTCCCCCCGCACATCAAGTTCAGGAGTCGATCTCCATTTTTAGAGGGCTCCACGATGATGGGACCCTGGTGTTGAGACGAACCATCGCTTGAGGGCTTATCCTGGCCCCGTCTTCCCCGCATTATCCACTTCGTTTCTTACATCGCGGGAAACTTTTGGAGAGTTTGATTCTGGTATATAGTGGAGGCTCGAGACCACAGAGTTGGTGTCTTATGCTAGGCGTCGGAGGCCGTACTCTGCCGGCTGAATGATGTCAAGATGAGAATTTGGAGGTGCGCGTAGGTAGTGGCTCATGGGGCCGGAGGAAGGACAGTCGACACACTTGAAACACGAAAGAATTGAACGTAAGTTTGCCTAGTTCTGAAGGCACTGCGATCTGCTCATCTTCTGTTCATCCCGCCCTGCTTTCTTATCAACGGAAAAATGAGAGATATTGACTGACGCGAAGAGGTTTAATGATGAACAACATGCTTATTGCTGACCGACTTGTTTTGGATTCAACGCATTTCTTCTCGTCATTTCCTGTCCGCTCAATATCTCCACTCTCCTTCCGAAAGTGAGTGTTGATAATCTCTATACTCGTAGGTATCCTCAGAATAGTATTCATCCCGTCTCATGGTCGTAATCTTTTTTCTTTGATGCTAGCGCAAAAGGCTCTTATCAAGCTTGAGTAACACAAGAAAGGGGTCGGGGGTTCGTAGTACCTCAGGGCTGAAATCTTCTCTTCTCTTCTCGTCAAGTACCTCGTTCTCATCTTCTCTCTTCTCGAGGAGTTCCTCAATTTTCTCCTCCTGTTTGGAGGTTTGCATATCGTTGTTATCGCAGATGATTATTGTGGCGAAACCTGCTGTGTAGAGGCTGACTAGGGAGACGGCTAGGAAAGTTGCGAAGAGCGGCATCATGGAGGGAAGTTATGGAGGTATACTTTTGAAGAGGGTAGGTGTATGCGAAGTTGGGGTGGAGTGAAAGCTGGTAGGATGATGTCTGTCGTAGTTGATATTGGAAGAGGAAGTTGATGTTGTCTGATGTTTTGTATATGCGATGTGTATGTGTCGGGTTTGATGGTTTCTCTTCTTTTCACGAGTATATCAAAGATATGGAAGGAAAAGTTTGCATCTCCTCAAGGTTTCTGTCTGTAATAACCATACCCCATCGTGAACAGCGACGACTGCTCAACCTTTGCGGGCTGAAGCGGTTTGCCAACCTTGAGTTACTATTCGCGGCACATGGTGTCACTTGGGGGCAGATATTACCCATTAATACACATGCAAAGGTTTCGAAAATGGAGTTGACGACATATTTTTCCACGATGATATTCACATTGAACAAGGTTATCGAGTTCCTCGACTTATAATGCTTCTAAAAAGACTACATCGCGTGGAAGTCTGGATGGAAGATATGAAGCTAAGCAATCTACACCTCACTCCGACAGAGGGAAAATGAGAATTAGAGCGAAATGTAGTACTAGAGTCGGCCTTGGGCAAGAATATCGGTTTGCAGGATATCAGCATCTTCTCAACTCCGACCTCGCTCCGTCGCACTCGTGCCATCTCCTCGAAGGACATTAGCAAACGTATCTACCTACGAGAAGGGCGAGTGTACAGCCCGATTCTTCCGTTCTATAGCCAAACCGCACCTGGGCAATACAGTGATTACGGATAGCCACAGAGATGAAAAAATTGAGGGGGAAAAAAAGAGTCATATGATTTGTAAGGCAATTACACGCGTTGCGTCCCCAAAACTGCGGTACTTCTTGCGCTTTGACGTCCCTCTGGTAAGAAAGTCCCCAAAAAACAGGGCTTGCTAGGAGCAGCCACTGCCGTTGAAGAACGCCCTAGATCTTCATCACCGTTGAGAGAGACTGAGAAAAAGTCGACGGGCAAGGGGTGGGCTGACTTGGACTCGACCGTACCGGCATTCATTGGCATGTGGGTGTATCTGGCATTGTTGTTGTTGTTGTTGTTGTTGTTGTTGTTGTTGTTTTTTGCCTCGGGACTCGGGCAGACGGTATTCATCCCGCCACTACTTCGTTATCTCTGAAGTTGGGGGGATGTTAATCTTGTGATTGTAATTATTATTATGTAGTGATCCGCGGCCCGCGCGATGCTTTTGCTGCAGGTACGCTGCAGGGCGAATATATCCACACATATTGCATCGGGCCATCAGGGAACCGTCATTGCTTTATCTGAGTTTGTGTCTCGGGTCTGGTGGCTCGTTAACTCGTTGAATGCTTGAGTCACATCGTCATCGACGAAAAAGAAGAAACGATGGATGTCAAATGAGGTACGGCCATATGACGGCCACAGGTGATGCAAGGGCACCATCATCCTACGTGCCCACACAAGTTATCACGATGAATGAAAGCGCGTGCGGGTTCACTTTACGTCCGGATCCTCGGCCTCCACCAGCACGCGGGAAGAAAAATCAGCCACGTAAAAACGAAAATCTCCAAAGCTGCGCCCGCCCCACCGTAGCTTAGACATGCATTTCGGAAATCGTGTAATCCAGACACCCAGAAAGCAACCGTGACGGCAGATGAAACGGGATCGTCGGGAGTGGTTTACCATTCGAGAGAGCAAGTGCCGTGGTACCGTGGTATCGTCAAATGTTGCTTCGCCGGGACTCGGGGAATTTTGACTGCTACAGTGCGACTATCTACATGCCTGCATCGTCTTGCATGCGACTTCTTACACTAGAGAATGGATATCAATAGTCTCGTTTCTCGATGGGGATCAGATCTTCGACCGCGGCATTTCTTGTCGTTTGGTACACTAAATTGGTGGAAGCTGCCATTTGTCTTGATGGTTCCTCCACGGGCCAGGAACCGTCCTGAGCCCGCGGTGTCTATTATGTACGTATAGAGTAACAGTGTGATGTTGGGGGTATAGGGCGACAAGGATTGAAATCCTTGTCAAACCGTCAGAGCAGAGCAGAGAAGAGCAGGTGAAGGAGGGGTTCCAATAGCAAGAGCAGTCACTTCTAAACTATGTTGGCGGGAATATAGCGAATCGGCGAGATGAAGCAACCCGCCCGGTTCAACACTCCAAAACCAACATCACCTCTAGCTTCGAGACCATGGTGATTAATACAGCATCATTCTAGCCAACGCAGGCAAACGAACCAGGGCAGATGCAACGGAAGAGCACGGCGAGCTCGAGGTGATCCCTTGCATCGAAGCCAAGATTCGGGGAAGCAAATCCGCCCGAGAAGGCATCGCCAAGTTACCAACTTCCCCCCACGCTCTTCCATCGTTCTCTGTTATTTCCGCAGCCATTATCTGAGGACGAGGTGCGCGATTGTCAATCAGGTCGACTTTCAAAAGTACATGCAGTAATGAACACCCCTGTATGCCCCTGCATGCGCGCCGCCAAGGCTCCCCTCCAACTTGGCTTTGTGGGATTGCGTGGGATCTTTTTTCTCCAGAAACCCACTGGGCTGGGAAAGTGGGTTTGCGTGGGAATTGGGAATGGAATGGTACTCGGGCAATTTGCTCCATCTTCTCTGCAACCCCCAAGTCCAGCGCAGACCTCGTCCCAGAGGATAGGGGGGCGGTGTATCCGTAATTCTTTCTCTCTCTCTTTCTCTCGAGTAAAGATTGACTAAAATCTTCATCAGCGTCAAGCAATGCAAAACTTAAAAATTTTGGTCTGCACAAATTTTCGTCAGTCCTGACTAAAGACTTCTTTCCTAGTACACTGCGTACCTGCTCAGTGACATGGCTCCCAGCTAGGATTTAGATGAGTGTCCCCTGAGAAGAGATCAGCCAGCCATAGAAACACCGACAGCAAGTCACGACGGGAGGCTGTAACACGAAGCCCGACACTCAAGAGACGAAAGGAATGGAGGGCAGCGAAGCAAGGCAGGAAGAGAAAAAAAATGACACAGACAACCCCCGCGTCCCAGCCGTCGTCTGCATAACCAAAAGACAAACGTGAGGTGCCGGCAGTTTGGCACCCTGGAAAGGGACCACGGGTTCGTTTGCTCAGCTTTGCTCGTGCAGCTGTCTTCGCAGAACACGCACCGCCCCGAGAAACGTGCGTTTGGAACAATTTCTGAGCTCACGGACCGTTGGGAGTGTCGATCCATTACGTTCTCTGCAATTAGAAAGAGAGAAAAAAGAGTCCAAGCACTATCCGCAACATACATACTTACGTGCTCTGCTTACACGGCACGGCTCCTGCGCGCGCGTAGTGCCCTGAGACGAGACCAGACGAGACCAAGACGAGACGAAAAACCCAAGTCCAGACTTAGACTACCCGAGGAGGAGGAGCGCGCCGTTGGAAAAATGCAGGAACCCATCTTAGTCTTTGGGACCGACGGCACGTGGAAGCCGAATGCGCTTTCTCTCTTCTCAAGTTAGTCCGTCTGGTCGTAAGCGCCAGTCTCAGCGGCGTCTTTTTCATGGCGTTGTGGGCAAAATACATTTACTAGAGACAATGAGTTCGTCAAAAGACGTTACATCAAGGAGACTTCACAAGGCGAAAATGTTGGAGTTCTGCAGAGTGACAAATGAACAATAAATGACGTGTTATCTACAACCAACAGATTTTACAGACAAGATCGTTATGAATATTCAGCTGGGGCATGCCAACGCAACGAATGCCCCCCAAAAGCAACAAACTGAAACCTGCTTCCGCGGCAGGGCCTCCCAAAACAACAACATGGCTTCGGGGTATCATCCACAAGAAATTGTTTCGCTATCGTGACAAGGGCACATCTCCTTCACACACTACGACCGCGATGGCTGCTCATTCGAAGCCGGTCGACTATTCGTAAGCTCCGTTATGCTTTCACTCTCGTAGTTTTTTGTCCTGCGGTTCTGGCTCGGGATCTTGAACTGGTCGCTGTGCCTGAAACTACCCACAATTTCCGTCACATCTGGCCGTCGAGATGAATATTTGATGTCGGTCCATAGCGTCTTGCAGGCCTTCCATGAAGTCACCACATAGATGAGCGCATTCCAGAAGCCCTGAAGCGGGAGAACAAAGGCACTCATAAACTCTAGCGGCGTCGAAGACTCCTTGGTGTGTATGACCGAGTAGACGCGGTTGGCGCTCGACGGGACCCAGGTGATCAAAATGACTGTAAAGAACAGGATCGAACACTTGGTGTAAGACCAAGCCGCGTTGTTGAGCTCGTAGTTGCGTCGACGAGCAGAGTTCATCGGCCGCTGGGCGGAAGTATCCGCCGTGTTACTTTCGGTAGGCGGGATAGCCGCTTCGGCTTGTGATTCATTGCGGCTATAGCGATTGGCAGAAATGCTGACAGAGTAAGCAGCGTTAGGTAGTCGTGGGACTGGCCCGGCTTCCGAGCCACGTCTTCCCACTGTGGCAAGACCAATAGAACCCTGAGGCTGATCCATCGCTTCCGAGGTGACGTAGACTTCGGTCGTCTTCATCGAGGTTAGAACGTCGTGGAACGAGTTCATTTGGTCGTGGTCCGAGGAGCTAAAATTGTGAAGCTGCTTTCGCTTTTGGTAGATTTCTCGGCCCGCGCGGATGTAGATGAAGAAAGTGATCAAAATTGCAATCCTGGAACAATTAGCAAAGCCCAATTGAAGCGACAAATAAACCTACCAAACGGGTCCGTAGAATGTGAGAATGCGCCAGATCTCCCACTCAGGTCGAATCCAGCACCATAATGTCGCGTTGCCATAGACCCTCAATCCATCGCCGTTCCTGACAAAGACATAGACCAGGGCTGGGATAAAGGGAATTCCATAACAGCAAACGAGATACGGTATCTCCATTCTCCGTAGTCTTTCGGCGTCGAACTTGTAGTAGAATGTCAAGTAGACGTTGATAGCCATAGTAAGCGTCCAAAATGCATCAGCCGGCATGAACCTGCAGTGTGTTAGTCGCGAACCAGTAGCGGGGCCGATATACCAACATTTGGACCA